TGCGAACAACCCTGATGGGATCAGATGAATTCTTTTCTACTCTACCTATGCACGGTGTCGAAAGTTAATTAAGTCGCATAGCTTTTGAACAGGAGCCTAGAAGGCGATATTATAATTTCATTACCGTTTCCATCCCTGTGTTCATTTGCTTAGATTCTTCAGGCTCGCCGAATCCCTCGGGCAGGTCTCTGCAACCTATCGAGTGCAAAATAATGAAGAGAATTTCATGTTTTACTATTCCTTTTGAAAGGCTAATTTTTGAGTTAGAATGTTCAGCCTCGAACTCGATCTGTCATTTAATAACACAAAACTTGTAAAACGACCTAAAACTTTTAGATGGCTAGCAAAGTAGTTCTCGAGTCACAGCCATGTAGACAAAATTTGAGGTCGGGCTGCTTAACTTGCGAAACATGAGTCACCTCTTATGAGTGGTGCAAGTCTACTTACGTCAAAATAACTTCAGGTTTCGGTCAGTTGGTGTGCCTGGTGGTGCCACTTTGTTTGATCTGCCCCTGGCTCTAGATCAATTTTCGGTGCTCATTTGAAAAGTTACTATGGTCTCTTTTTGAATTCTAAGAAGAAGTGCATATGTAGTTTGAAATGCAGAGTGTCGTACAACTTGTAACTCAGTTTGTGACGTAAGTCGATTTACGTCACTTCTAATAAATGCTACAAAAATATACAAATAAATTGGTTTCAATGGGATTTCGCGGGGATTTCAACAAACGTTGCGGTGTCTAGGAACTCGCCTTAAATCAATATAAATCCGAGACCACATCTTGCTCAAGGTTTTGAGTGTAAACAGACAGATGGACATACGCGCACACCTCGCACACACCTAACAAAGGAAGATTTTCCGGTGACACAGTCAGATTTTAAAGGCGCTTTAAAGAGTATCTGTTTGCACCCCTAGATAAGGTTTGGCACCGGTTTTAGCTGGCCGTAAAGAGTTTAAAGGTCGTTTTACCCGAATTTAATTGAAAATTCGCAAAATTTATAGCCTGATGATCAACTTTACATGCACATATCGCAAGAACCGTTTGAGCTATAGCTGTATACAGCACCCGATTTTTAAGGAAAATCATAATTTAGCACGTTCTTTACTTGTAGAAAATTATAACGAAATCAATTAGGGTCGCGAAAACGGATCCCGAGAGGAGGTTGCGATCCTAGACCCCTTTTTGTGACCCCCATTGATTTGGTTCAAATATTTTTCATGGAAAGTACTAACTAGGAGATAATTACCTGCAAAATCTGGGCGCTGTAGCTGAAACGGTTCTGGAGATATGTGCATGCAAAGATGGCAAAAAGGGGTGAATTTGGGAAATTTTTGATGAAATTCGCATGAAATGACCTCAAAACACCCTACGGGCAGCTAAAACAGTGCAAACAATTACTCTTTTAAACACAGGAAAACCTTCCCTTGTAAGGACCAGGAGATGCGACCGCAGATGTATAGCTTTTTCGAATCAGAACTCAAATCAGACTGTGCTGAATATATCTTAAGTAATGCATATTCACTAATAAATATTGCATTACAGGTAAATAATGCTGCAATCGAAATCGTTGGAACCACAGACACCCTGCCAGTTGATGAGTTCGATCGGCTGCTGAATGTTAATCTTCGCTCAGTGTTCCAGCTAACTAAGTTTGCTCTTCCACACCTTGAGAAAACGAAGGGTAACATCATCAATATTTCAAGCGTGGCTTCTACCCATGCGGTGAGGAAAACCTTCGCTGCGTTTCCATAATCCTACTTAGCTTCAGGCCACAGCTGAAATAATGACAACTAAGATTCCCTGTCGTCCCATTTCTTGCAGATCAAGGGCACTCTGGTCTACGGAGCCTCTAAGGCGGCAGTCGACCACTTGAGCCGCAACATGGCTCTGGAGATGGGCCCAAAGGGGGTTCGAGTAAATTGCGTGAACCCTGGAGTCATTATGACCGAGTTCCAGCGGAGGGCTGGCATGCCCCAAGCTACTTACGACAAGGTGCTTATAGCTCGTTTACATATGATTTATGTTGGATATGGTACATGTATGGACTTCGCGATATCTTACGAAACCCTAATAGAAAATTTTCAAACTTCCGATTGTATTGGTTGCCCTTAGCAAAATTCCGATTGAAGCGTTATTTATACGGGTTCTATGTATATGTATCATTTCTTCTGGAGAGGGGGAGGGGAGCGATTTAGGCCATCCTTTTTTGTGACTTTAGTCTTTGCCCGTTTCCCAAGAAGGACGTGAGCTAGAGGTCTGAAAATTTAAGGGTACCATTGTTGCCACTCCAGGACAACGAAACGGTTGGTGCAAATCCTGGCAACCACCCCTGAGTGGGTCTGAGGGGGTAACAAAGAAATAGGGGTTGGTCCAAGATGTGGAAAAAAATAATTATGGTCTCCAAAGGGGTAACTCGTAAAAGTAGAATCCTTTAAGCTGTACAAACTTTTCAAAATTCCTCCTAATTGATGTTAGCTTGTAAAGTCAATAACACACATCTAAAAAAATATTTAGGACTGAGGCTCTAAAGAAAAAAGAAAATACTCGCAGGCATATTTTGAAATGACTCTGAGCGTGAAATACGAAAAGACGAAATGTATGAGAGTACGAGTTTTTGGCATAGAAGCTAATACATTTTTTTAATGAAGTGTGCCACCCCTTCTGCTCAGAAGAAAATTTTGAACCCACGGTTCAACCAAGACATACTCCTGAGAAAAATAATTTATTGAGAAGGGGGGGCACTTTGGCAAAAAAAGGTCTCCCTTTAGTGCCCTAAGGGGGAAGATTGACTCCCTTTAGCGCCTTTAAAGTGAGAGAGCCGAACGGACGAAATTTTAGCCCATAGGATTCTAATTTCGTGATTTACTTTTCAGAATGATATGTTAAAGACCCGCGAATCAAAATTTTCGTTTGAATGCTCTATTAAGGAAACGCCCGCTAGCGCCTAAACGGCGAGAATACAGCCAAATGGGTGAAATTTTGGTTCAAAGGGGTCTACTTTTGAGAGTTTCCCTTAGAACACTATTTTTAAAAAATCCTACTCTCTGCACTTCCTCTCTAGCTACTCCTCAGATCCACTCAGGGGTGGTTGCCAGGATTTGCACCTACCGTTCCATTGTCGAGAAGTGACATCAATCTTACCCTGACAAATTCAGACCTCTCGCTCACGCCCTTCTTGGGAAACAAACAGACAGACACACACAGGGACGATGGCATAGGCTAGGCTAGGCAAATGCTGAAAAGCCCTCTATCGCGTTCGTGGCTAGAGATATAATAGCAAAACATACGAAATAATCGTTCAATGGGCTTTTAAGTAAGCCATGAAAATACACTGTAAAAAATTTCTATGGTAGATTTCCTATAAATGTATCTGCAGCAATTCACATATACATGTATAGGAATTTTCCCATACAGGCGTGTGGTAATTCTACCATACACGTTAGTATTCTTACCATTCAAGTATAGGAATTTTTCCTATACACCTGTGTAGGATATGTACTATGTGTGTGTGGGATTATCCCTACACATGTATAGGAATTTTCCTATACACCCGATGCTCTTTCAAAAAAG